GTTTCGGGCCGATCTTACCCCAAATCGGTCCAAATTGCATTCTTATGGAAGAACCTCGCCCAAGCCAGACCGAAGTTTCGGGCGGATCTTACCCCAAATCGGTCCGAACCTCGCTCAGTGGTTTTGGACGGATTTTCAGAAATCCGCCCGTTTGGAATACCAAACACTTGATGTTGTTTGGAAAATCGGGCCGATTTTCAGAAATTGTCCATGTCGACACAGCGCAAACAATTTGGTTTCAGGATTTGGACGGATTTCTAGAAATCGGCCCGATTGGGGGGGCAACATCTCTGGAGGTGATTTCGAGATTTGGACGGATTTTTGGAAAATTGGCCGGCCTGCAAACCAATTTGTAACAGCGAAAGTGTTACATTAAATTTGCAGCCAGTTTTGTTTTGAACCGGCGCAGCAATATGAGAGGATGAGCAGCCCGAAAACGTAATTGACAATAGAACTAACCATTTGAAGAGATTCGCCATGGTACACGAAAGGGCCTTCAAAGGCCTAAAACAAGATCTGGGCGAGGACCCGAGAAGTTTTCTGTCAAATTGTTTCAGAAAAACAATTCCCGGCTCGGTATTTCTTTCTAAATTTGAACGGTGCGGGAAACTGGTGACTCACGGCCGGCCAAATGGCAGCTGTTTGGGTCAGCCTGCAGCGCCCCAGAGCACGTCTCTTTCATGCTTGAAAACGTTCAATCTGCATGGGTCCAGCATGCTCCAGTTTGCAAGTTGCCCCGGACAAGTTTGTGATATGAGTGACGTGTCTTTCTTTGTTTTCGATGATTTTCTGCAGCAATTTTGATACGATTCGGCACCACTGCCGCCAAATCCGTGGTGCGCCTGTTGCAGATGGGCAAGCGCAAAAGTCTGGGGCTGGAGGATTCAGCTCTGAAGAGGGGTAAGAGTTCGTTAGCCGTGGAGGATCCAGAGAGATGGCAGTTCATCAGTCAGATCACAGCTTGGTTGCTTGACAGTAGCATCGTAATCACGTTGCAGTGCTTTGTCCGTTTGTGCTCAGCTTCAGTTTCTGGTCTTTTCACCCGAGTGCTGAGGTTTCGAAATGAGGTTGTGGCCAATGGCGGGATTGACAAGTACTTGACCGCCAAAATGCCAGATGAGGCCAGGTCTTTTGCGCAAACCCAAATTTGTCACATGCCACCGCACTGTTTGTGACAGGCTGCTATGCTCGAATTCGCAGCGTGGATTGATGACTTTGCCCCGGCCGATGGAACGACTGTGACTCAGTAGTAGTCATCAATAGTCAGCGTGTAGCTTTTTGTGGCTTCAGAGTTCCACCAAATTTTTCTCGGTTGGGTTGACCAGTATTCTGTCGCAAGGAAGGTCTACGCAACCGAGATGTCGGGCAGTGGGTTCATCAGACCCTGGCAGTGTTCTTGGAGGGGCGACTTCGGGGTCTCCTCCATGGTGGACCCAGACCAGGCTGAGGCATTGATTGAAGTCTTCTTGCAAGAGGGGTTGCTTGGAGCTTGTCACGTGGAGGTTGTGATTCACATTCTAGTTCACACTTAAGTTGCATTTTGTACTTTTTCTTGCGGCAAGTTGCGAACAAAGCCTTTTGCGGCGCCCTGCGTTCAGGTTTCTGACAGACCCGAACATGGTCGGAATTGAGAAGGTTGCCGCGACTGAAGTGTCAAAATCATGGTTGGAACGTCCCTACACAGAGTGCTCTTCTTTGGCGGGCAAAAGTTGCGTGACTGCATTGGTTGCTGATGCTCTACTCCAGTCAGTGACAGCTTGATCTTGACAAGTTGGCTTACTTTAGCATGCTTTAGCATTTCCCTGTGTTTTCGGAGGTGACCTGCTACGGCCGTTTTCAGTGGGGTACATCAAAGGCTTCAAGCGTTGCGCAGTGCTTTTGGTCACCTTGCAAGGGCTGCGGCAGTTGGACCTGGGGGAGCACGTCCCTCACTCGATTCGGGTTCCTTGAAGCTAAACACGGTTTGGTGTTGTCGGCGTAACTGGGGGGATCTGTGGGGCCAGCTAGCTTGCGTTTTCAAGTTTGATACTGTGCCATTTATTCAATTGTCAGGTTGTTTGCTTTGTTCCTTTCCCCAGGCTACAATGGGAACCATTCACGTCAATTTCGGCCAGTTCAAGGATGCGCGTGCCCAAGTCCTTGCAAACCGAGGAGACGGGACGATGTGTCGCTCCATGTCATGTTGTAAGCCTGTTTGAATTTTTGTAAAATCACTTCTGATGCGTCGCTGGAAGCCAGCTTTCACCCACACATGACATGTTGTAAGGCTTTAGGTTTTCTCCATGGCCCCTTCCTTTTCTTTCAGTACCCCTCCCGAATTAGGGTCTAAGATAGTCTCTCTTTCTTTTTGCTTCTCTCAGGAGCTGCCATGCTCCACCAGGCAACCAAAAGGCCGCCACATGCCTTCAATTTTTTGAGGCAATTCCGGATCTTGCAGAAGTCCGGGTGTGGGAATTTTGATCAGCAATCAAAGGACTGGACCGGGCAAACTTGTTGGTCTCAGTGGTTTTGATGCGCGCTCTTCGAACTTTGATAGTCCTACATGTTCCGGGTTTAGGATTTTGTTCTGGCCGGCAGATGTGTTCGAGGATTGGCAGACTGCTGCCGGAGTGGCCCAAGCATTCAAGATTGGTCCGAAGGAGAGCAAAGCTGTCAGGGAGTTGTTCCTGAACGTGCCTCATGATATCTGTACCAGATTGGAGGATGCTGTCAAACAGCGAGGTCTCACGCTTTTGCTCAATCACGATGCGATTGGCAATGGCTGCTTCAGCACTGGTTTCTCTTCAGGGACTGGAGCTGTAGAGCATTGGCATGACCACCTGACGAATCTGTCCGACAATTTGGAGTTGGTCCCTTGACACTGACCGTGCCAAATGTTCTTTTGATGTTGTTTCGATCCTGGATTTTGATTTGATTTGCTTGGCTTCGCAATCATCTCATGACTTCCTGCTTTTTGCCAGCCCAGGTCAATCTTTTCCTAGACCGGGTGATCGGTGACCATGACTCGACGGCGCCTGGCTTGAGGAAGGGGCTCTCCTACAAGGATGCCGCGAAGATTCACCAAGCTGCAGGCTGCTTCCTTTTTTTCTTGAAGAAGCTGAAGCAGATATGCCCAGAGGGGGAGTATGCTGAGACTTCTCGAGGGTTGCGCAGCCAGTTCATGTCTGGATTCCTGGATGCTGATTTGGTGACCACTCTAGAAAGCCAAGTTCCAGCTGCAGCGGACATCATGGAGGTCAAAGCCTTCAGGCCAGTCCGTGCCAAAATGGAACTTTTGTTTTTATTTTAGATTTGCAGTTTTGATTCGATCATTACTCGGGATTTGTGTGTAAGTGTCACTGTGTGTCGAAATTTTGTTTTTCAGTGCAATGCGGTGCATTTGTGTGAGATTGTGCTTCTAATAAGTCATCAGCTGTCGCCCTTTCAGGTTTCAAAGGTTGGCACGCCGTTTTTACAGCCTGAAGCTGTTTGTTTCTTTTTGCCGTCGTTTCTTGTGATGTTTTAAGAATCCGAGGCCGGTAGTGATCCGTATTGAGAAGGCTCAGACTGAGCAGAAGGAGCTTGCAGCCCAAAGTCTCGCCAAGGAAGTTGCCAAGGCAACCCTTGCTGAGGTTCAGGGGATGTTCCGGAGAGACCTTGAGATCTTGAAAGCCAAGCTGCCAGCCAAAGATGAAGTTTCTGCAGAAAGTGCCCTCGACATGAAGTATTTGCGGGACCGGCAGGCGAACCTGAGATTTTCATAGTAGCTTCTATTTTTGAGATTTGTAGAAGGTATTTACGGCCTTGTTTGTTGTTATTGTTGCTGTTGTTGTTGGTTTTTGTTCGGTGGCTTGTCCGCGGGGCTGTGAGCAGCCTGCGTCAGATTCCCGGTTTCGAGCATGTAAGGAAAGGCCGAAAGTATTCGGAGGATTTCATGAAGACCAAGTGTTGCCTGCTTGCCGTGGATGACGACATGCAAGCCGCGGGCACGAACGCTTTCTTGCAGTTTGTGGAGCCCATGAGAGGCATTCCAGGGACACTGTGCCCCGGACTGAAGTGAGTTTCAGGCTTGGTATGCGCTTGTTAGTTTTGGCAATCTTGGCATTCTTTTGAATCGATATCTGAAATGTTTGGTTTGTTTTCGGGTTTCAGGATGTTTCTTTTGTTGTTTTCCTCCAGTTACTGATTGAGTTACCGAATATTAGGTATGCGGTCGCTTGCTTGGATGTGACCGTGTTCCCAGCCAATGCCGAGAGGGTGAAATCTGCCTTCAACATTCTCTCTTCAGTTTGTGCAATGTCAAGTTCGCACTGTGGCTGGTTGATGATGCCAGTGCACCAGACCCAAACGAATCAGCAGGCGCTCATGAAGCACCGTCGATCCGTCGAGGATGCCTTGGTCAAGACATCTATCAACTTGACCAATGAAGTGGCGATTCTTTTCCAGAAGCCGGATGGCGCACGAGATGGCCGCCCCATGCAGCAGCCTGCAAGAATTGCAATTCACAACAACTATGTGCCGACCAGCCCTTTTCTGGAGAGTACAGCTTGTCAAGATGCTCGCACTGGCCCATGCCAGTTGATCAAGATTACCGACTTCATTGGCTACGATCCAGAGGCGCAACGCCCTGGAGCATCAGCGCGTGTTGAGCAGAGCTTTGTCCTGATATATCATTGTTTTCGATTTTTCCATTTTTGGTCAGATGCCCCCTTTTCAAGTTTGGTTGAAAAGAATAACTTTGAAGTTTTTGGTTTCTAGTTTTGACGTTTGTGCAGCGATTGAAAGTTTGTGGGTCCCATCTTTGTGACTGCTTCATCCAGGAAGGGAATAGTGGCGCATCACAAGATGATTTCTGACTTGCTGAGCTTTGAGATCAAAGAGGGGGACAGAGTGGTATGGTTCGATATACTGCCCAACAGGCTCGGGGTTTGGAGAAACTTTTTAAGGCTTTGAGTTCTTGTTTGGAGTTCCTTGTTCCATGTTTTGCAACACCATGTGTTGAAATCAAGATCATCTCCGCTGTTGTCCTGTTTGTTAGGCAAGCTGAGTTTGGCCGTGCTTGCCTTCAGACACTGTTGACAGGGGCCAGCCCCCAAGTCCACTACTTGGGGTTGGTGAAAGACAAGCACTACACTGAACTTCGCACTGCTTTTGAGAGTGAGATCTACAAGATGTGGGACTCCGATGCGAACTTGTCCCCGCCCAAGACCAGGCCACCAACTGCTTCCAAAGCATTGGATCCCCAGACATTGGGGCTTGAGCTGATTCCCGTGGACAACGGCGTCCCATTGTTTCCCACGGTGGTCTACGGCAAATTCAAGGACGGGAGCCCTGAGATGGAGGAGGTGAAGAAGATGGAGCAACTTTTCAACGAGCAGTTCCCACGTCCAGATCAGTCCAGCCGTCCTTCACCGAATGCATCTGGCAACCGAGCGACTGGCCAGTGTGACTTCAGCATCGACGGTGGCGAGCGTCCAAGGAATGTCAACAAGGTGTTGAATCTGCCCACAGTTCCTGTCGCAGAGGTTCCTGCAGAGAGGCCTGCAGTTTTCAGTTTTGTGTTGCATCGCCAATTTCAATCTAAGTTGCTTCAGAATCACCAAGTTGCCAAGAATGTAAGTTCACTCGTGAAGCCTTCCGACACAGAACAGTCTAATGAGTCCAACGCAATCATTGCCAGGCTTGGTACATCGTTGGGCAAAGCCGGCAAACCTACAGTGGTGATTGACAAGTCCCATCACATTTGGTTGCTCAACTCTGGAGAGGAGAGCCTTACAGTGACTCCGGGAGAACTGTTTGGCTTCGGCACCGGGCAGTACAGCATTGTGAATGACTGTGCCTCGCCTAATGTTGTATTTGGAACAAAAGATGTTTTGTGAGGACTGAAGCATTGCCCAGCATTTGATGACATTGCCCTTCGCCTCCATAGTTTCAATTGAGTTGGCCTTGCATAGTTTCAAATCACGAAATCAACATGTAACATCATGAGCCACAGTGCTGGCTTGTGGAAGAATGTCGATGTGATTTCTTGCCATCAGTTTGCGCCAGTTGCTTGATGGAATGAGTGCATTGTTGCCGTTTGAGTGATGTTGGACGTTTTTGCAGATTCCATTACCCGCAATAGATGTTTCATAATTTGTGGTAGATGCAAAGTCAGCTCCCATGAAGTCTGAAAGAAAGGATTTGGTCTGATGACCAGCTTGTAACAGGTTAGCCTCACCCTTCCTTGTTTACACTGTTTCCATGCCTCATCCTGACCTGTCGATCGAAGCTCATGTCCCAACCGGCCGCAAAGGCGAAGAGGTTCTGCCACATGCCATTCCGTGGATCGTCAAAAGTGATTTGGATATCTTGGCCCATGAGAAAGACCCGAAGCCGCTGTGTGTCTTTTTCCGACAGCTCGCCGTCGACAGCGGACTTGCCGATATCGAGCTGGAGTACCATGTGCTTGTGCCCAAAGTCATTCCTGCCCAGGACAGAGTGTGTGAATCAGTCTTCTTATTGGTGTTCTTTATCTGTTTGGTGCCGGGCAGGAGGGCGGTGAAGCCCAGCCTGTGAGCTTCAGGCGCTTCAAATTTTTGTTGTCAGCTGAAGCCAGTTTGAGCTAGATTTCTGACAAGCTTTTTTGCTTTTTGGTCAAGCTAATGCATTTGATGTTGACCATTGGGGTTTCTGCGCAGGTGGGACGTTACGCGCCTCGCTTCCAAGAAGACTTGTGTCTACAAGCCCAGTGCTTTGGACGGCGACAGCGGCGGCCGTGACAACCTGCGCAGGGCCATGCTGGGTGCAGTGTACAGCGGGGACTACCAGAAAGTCCCCCGCGGAAATGGCCGTGTATCGCTGATTTGGGAGGTGCGCGTTCAGTCAGCCAAGGAAGTTGCTTTGTATGAGTTTGTTTTGCTTTGTTTTTGGAGCCAGTTTGTTTGCCTTTGTTTTTGGAACTTGCTCGAAGCTCGTTTTGAGTCTTGCGCGTTCTGCAGGTGTCTTACACATCTTCACCGCCGAAGTGCTTACCTACGAAGCCCAAGGTCTACCTTCTGGGCCAGGTTGAATTGGGGCCTGGCACTGCTGTCAACTTGTCCGTGTGAGTTTCAAATCATGCGGAGCACTGTGCGAACTTGAGTTGCCATGTCATTGATGTTGAATTCTTAGCACGTTGAAGTGTCAATGCTTTCATGCTCAAGTATCGCGACTGATCCTCGAGTTCCCAGAAGGACGCCTGCTGGTGCTAGTTTTTGAGACTGACTGATTGGTTTGCCACTGGCTGGCATCAAACCCAATCACTCCATTGTGAGAGAAGTCGGCAGTTCAAGAGTCAAAAACATGTTGCGCGCAGAATTCTTTAGTTGCCCACATTTTTTGGTGTTGAAAATGAATGGCCGGCTCTTAAGTTGAACACGCGCTCGAAACCACGTAGCAGTTTGGCGATCAGGAAAGAGACTCGGTAGGTCCCAGGTTCCCAGTTTGGCGTTTGGCAGCGAGATGCCAATTTACATGTCTGTAGATGAGTTGTCCGGCTCGGAGGCTGGATGAGTGGCAGTGTTTACGATCTTTTTTTTTCACAAGTTGGCTCGATCATGCAGAGGAAGAGAAACCGCAAGCTGCACCAGCAGCAAAGAGCAAAGCGGCGAAGGCCAAGGCCACGGTGAAAGGTGTGAAGAAAGATGGCAAGACAGCAGTAGCCAAGACCAAGTCAGCTTCGTCGAAGAGTTTAGCGAAGAAACCTGCTGCAGCTGCAGCGACACTAGCGGTAGAAGGCCGATCTTTGAGATTTGAAGTCACAGATGTTTTTGATTTTTGACCAGGCTCGCTGTGTCAGTTTGTTTTCGTTTCGCATGTTGGCCACTGGCTCCCAAACTGTGAAACCTGTCAGAGGCGAAGTGGTGGAACAGAAGGGCGAGTTGAACACTAAGCCGGAAGATGCACCGGTCGCTGAGGTTGCCTGCAAGCCTAAGGCCAAGGCTAAGGCCACCATGAAGAAGCCAGCTTCGAGTAAGTCTGCGATGGGCGAGTACAACAACCCCTGTTGGCACAAAAGTGCGAAAGCTTGGACCATTAAGAAGAAGGATGGCAAGCAAGCCTTGGCTGTTTCTCGACGAAAGCTGTCAACAGCTTTGGCATCAAATTAGGTTTGTTATAGCGCATCCCTGACCCATCAGGTTGGCGGTGTGATGATCAGCAAGGAGAAGGCTTTGGAGATTGCAGTTCTGTCCTCAGGATTTACTTGGAAGATTTGGTTTCAGCTGTCATGTTCCAACGTCCTTCATGATGCTTTGTTCGACTTTGTTCCAATGATTTCCAATGTCTTTCCTGAGTGTCGACTTCGAGTTTGTTGTGCTTTTCCAATTTCCTTTCTGATTCTTTTCTGGTTGATTTGGTTTCGTTTTCAGGAGATTGCCTTAGAGAAGCTTCGTTCGGGGCAACCTGTCACTGAAGTGAAGGCTTGGGCTCAGGCTGGCCCAGGTTGATTTTCATTGCGCAGATTTGACCCCCTTTGCAGGCCATGGTCCACAGCGTGAAAACTGCTGTCTTTGATAAGATGACAGCTGGGAACAATGCGGTGGGCAATGAGGCGGAGGCTGAGGGTGATGCCACCAAGTCCAAGGATGCAACAGCGGCAGGCTCCACAAACAAGCCGGCAAAGACAGACAAGCCGGCAGATACAGACGAGAATGAGTTGGGTGGGGATCATGAGATGTGCGAAGAAGAAGAAGAGATGGCCGAGGATCCGGAAATAGCTGAGAATGAGGATGATGCCCCTAAGCCTGAGGATATCGATTGAGTTTCCATTTGGATGCCTGGGTCGCCTGCTGCGGGTCGTGTTGAAAACAAGAGCCATGGCAGCGTGTTGCGCAGCTTTACTTTGTCAAACCTGGTTCATTGAAGTCTTGCAGACACACTTGACTTTCCTTCATGGTCTTGACGCGTTGTCGCTCATTGTTTCTGTTCCTAGCGAGCAGCTTTCTTTCGAACGTGGCAGGCTTTGGTGGATATGTTGCTTGTGTGCTCAGCTCTGAACAGCAGTGCTTGAGCCAGCCCAAAGCGTCGTTGAAAAGGATGCAGCAATAAAGATGGACGACATTTTGTCATGTTGAAGGCAGGATGTGATACCAGTTTTTTTTCGAGTTGTCCCTTCTCAATTTTTCGATGGGAAAGTGCAGTTGGGTCAAGTTAGCCGCGTGAGAGTAGGCTGTTGGAGGCTTTTTTGGTGTCATGTCCGCGCCGGCTGACAAGGTGGCATTTACCTTCAACAGAGTGATTCTGCCAGGAAATCCACGGCCACCAATTCCGTCCAATGAGGAGATTTCTCGCATCTTGGAATCCAATCTCACTTGCCCGGACATCCTTCTGATCAGTTTCCACACGTTGCAAGCTGGGTTTTTGACGAAGCTTGGACGTCCTTGCTTGAAGATGACTCATGAGCCTGACCCTTTCACGGACACACCGCCTGCCATGACGCATGGGTTTCTTGGTTACAAGTTCAACCCATGAAAACGACAAATTAAAGTAATGAAGTTAGTTTGCATGAATTCGCATTGAGATTGTCAGTTGCCCTGCCGGTTGCTTCAATCCAAGTGTGGTCAGTGCAAAGCATGTTTGGCAGCCCAGGGTCCTTTTCCAGAACTTCTTCGGAAAGCTCCCGGATGAGTTTGCCGCCATGTGTTATGGCGGGGATCTCCCAACCAAGCCGGTTGTTCGCACTCCGGCCTTCATGACTGATGAGAAGAACAAGAGATCTATAGTTTGCTTCGTCGGTGATATGCAGCTCAAGAGCACGGATACCCCTTACGTCAAGAAAATTAGGACGGAGCTTTGGACACACATGGACACACTATAAAAGGGTTGCAGTACATAAACATTTTCGGTCAAGTCATCGTAATCATGGCTTTTTGATTTCGGCGCAGGACGGAAGACACGAAGCAGCCCACGGTAGTCATTTTTATCCCGATGGAGAAGTTGCTTTTATTGAACAAGTTTTCAAACAGTGTCTTTGAGGCATTCAAGATCAACCATTTTTGGGGCAGTGCCAGTGCAAGCTCATGCTTTGCTTCATGTTTTTGGGTAGGGTTCACACGGGTAAGTGAGGCCCTAAGATCTTGCACGCCGCGGTCTGGGCAGATCTGGTGCCTCTAGGCAAGGCGTTTTAACTTCTGATGTTTTGTGTTTCTTTGCACGCTGTCCTTTCAAAGTGCGTGGCGCTACTGTCACAGCATTCAGGCGGAGATCGCGATGAGCAGTGAGTGGATCCCATACTTTGATTTGACGAGAGGTTGGTACAGTATAACTTTTAGTGAAGTTGACCCTGAATGAATTTCATAGGTTGGGTGAAGAAGATGCAAACAGCTGTACCGAACAATTTTGTGAACACGTTGTCTACTTCTTAGACAATGCTACTCTTAGCTAATTCCAAGTGACTTGGTTGTATGAAGCTTCCGTGGAAGAAAGACAACGCAAGGACGCGTCTCTCAGAAAGAGAGCAAAAACGCTTGGCTCAACAGAAGCTGTTTTTGACAATACCGCAAAGCTGGGACACGGAGAGGTCAAAACAATTGTGTTTTTGCGCCACTGGTCGTCGGTAAGCGAGCCTGGCATGATAAGCCGAGCAATTTGTGATGTAGCTGAAGATGACTGAGGAAGCTGGCTAGGAATATTTTAAGGTTCAACGGATGTTTGAAAACCTTGGACGAAAGGGGCGTTAAGATTTTCAAGGCTCAAGGCTGGACTGGCTACTTTCCCACTTTCTGTCTATTACAGCGTTGTCTTTTTTCACGCTACTCAAGACTTATGTGGCTTTTGCTTATGTGGCTTTTGCCTGGCGTTGGGTGTTATGAGCCGTAGTTTTTTCCCTTGATGGCTGCCCCAGGAGTGAGGTGGCCCCAAGCGACTTAGTGTTGTGGCCTTGTACAGGCTGACTAGACCACTTCCTGTGGCAGGTGGGCCTTTCACATCTTAAACAATCAGTGTAGCCGCTCCATAAAGACGCAACAAAACCGTAACCCTGGAGTACAATGCCAGACAAAATCAGGGCATTTGGGGTGCCCATGCATAAAGTTAACAAGGCGCAGCAAACACTGACGTGTTTCATAAAATGAAATATAAGGCCGAAAATCAATGCTGTATCATGCCGCTCTCGGTCACTAGCCAGTCCCGACCCAGAAGTCCAATGGTCAAGCACATGCTTCAGACCCCAGTGGCCGCAGTCTCAAATGGGCCGAAGCCATTGGCCAGACTCAACAGCTTAATGAGGTCAACATCAACCATCATGTGTGAATTTATCTCATTAAGTGCGTGGCTCAACACACTTCCATCCCAGGCTCAACTCCAACCCAGGCTGAGCATTTGGAACCCCAAATCATTTGGGAACCCCAAATCACAAGAAATAACCTTCAGAGCAGGTAGCTGCCTTATCAGCACAGGTAGCTCTTCTTTCTGCAGCCAGGGAGAATGCCATGCCGGTCTCGCCAGCACCGATCCCCGATTTACCAAAGCGGCGTTCTGTCGCTCCTGTGCCAGGGCCGTCAATTTCACCTCCGGGTTTTCACAAGATGCCCGCCGTATCCAAGGGCTCCCCGGCAAAGATATCTTCTGGGAAGGCCTTACAGATTTTGGGACCTCCCCCCAGGACCAGGATGCAACCAGGCCATCCTAGACAAGCCTGAAAGCGCCGCCCGAGCAGCCTTCCACAGAACAGGCGCTGGCTCAGCAGTCAGCAGCCCTCACGGCCCTAGTCTCCCACCTCATTCAGGGGGCGAGACTTTCGGCCTCGACGTTCATGGATCAACTGGGGCAAGTTCGGGTTCTACTCGAGGCACCCAGAAAAGAGAGCAGCTCCAGCATGCTTTAGCTACAGGCCAGTCGACCTTCTTCATGATGTTGCAACAGCAGCTGTGCCGGAAGCTGCAGCCCTCTCAAGCAGTTCCCAAGAACGAGGACGAGCTGATGGTCAGGGCGCCCTCTCTGATGACATACCTGGAGCGCTACGGTGGCTTCAAAGGCCAGAAGGAGTCGGGGTTGGTGATGTGGGTATTGGCGCACGCAGTCGATGCAGCAGCACGTGGGGATTTGTTCACAACAAAAGAGTATCTTGCCTTGCTGGTTTTGGGACTGGAGCAAAGTGCATTCGATGCGGGAAGCTGGGATTTGGCGTACATCCTGACGCTCGTCGAGGACCCACCTACAAGCTTGTTTCAAGAGAAGATGAGTACTATTACGGCGTCGGCGCGCCCCTTCTCTCCTCTGGTTCCAGCTCCTCTGGCTACGATTTCATTGGCCTATTTGAAGGAGATCGACCTTTTGCAGAACCGGAGGCAAGAGACCCGACAAAAGAAGAACCAGCCCCAGAAGCAGGAGGATACAGATCAGTCGGCCAGTCCGAAGCGACGGCCAAAGTTCCCGAAGAAGCCAAAGGCCATCGCAGATGGTCAGGCTTGAAGCACCACGACGAGCAAGAATTCAGGCCACCCCTCAATGCAGTGTGGTCTGAGGTGCATGCCTCTTGTGGGAGGGACCAGCCTGGGTGTCGTCCAACTCTTTCTGAGGAGGAAGACCGCCCCACATGGCCTCCCCGCTCCCCAATGCCAAAGGTGGATTTGCAGCCTGAGGCTGGGTCGAGCCCATCAGCTTTTCTGAGTACAAGGCAAGCTAGTTACCCTTTGTGGTTATCGAAGCTGACGTCTTTGGTTTTGAGATCGAGGAATTCATTTTCTGCATTTTTGTCGCTTTCCATCCATGTCTCGAAGCGCTCCTGCCCGAGAGCTAAGAGAACACCAGCCTTGTTCCCTGTGCCTGTTCCCGTTGCGGGAATCTTTAGCAGGATGCCCACTGGAGCTTCAAGTTCCAAGAGAAGATCGTTGCATCTCAACAGAGCTCTTCATGTGATTTGCGTGGCCCTGAATTGTTGGTATTTCGGTGGTGAGTTCTGGGAAGCAGATCTTTTGTGGAGGGAGCCTTCACCTTTGCATTTCCAGCTTTTTGCAAGGATTCGCTCCTACATCAAGGCGGACGGCCTCGTGAAGAACTTTGATGTCCTCCATGCTGGTCGGAAAATCCGAATTTATACGCACGACTTTCGGAGATCACAGCTCTGTTGACACAGCTGGGATGCTCCACATCTCCCTATGACAAGGCCCATGTTGGGTATGAGGTCAAAGAAGACTCAGTCCTCCCTGAACTCGAACCTTACCGAGAACTTGATCCCAGTCGATTGAAGCTTTCAGGGGAAGGGCATTGGGACGCCACCTCATTTCTGCCTGACAATTTAGTTATGGCCTACCGTGAGCCTTCTTCCATATTCTGCAACCGAGTTCCAGAACGATGGGAGTATCCTGCTTTGAGAGACCCTTTGGGCAAAGTAGTTGATTTGGCCAAGTTGTGGGACAAGAACAGTTTGTTGCTTCTACATCGTGAGGAGGTCAACGACCGGCCCACCTTCGAGTTTGTCAAAGTCTTCAATTGTTACAAGTCTCATGACCGAGACCGCCAAATTGGAGATCGACGAAGTCGCAATGCAGTCGAGCGCAAGGTGAGTGGACCCTCGAGTGACCTCCCGTCGGGTCCTGACCTTTGTGACCTGGCCATCAGCTTGAGGTCGCAACGGGTACATCTCTCTATATCCGACAGGAGAGACTTTTACCACCAGTTCTGGGTGACCAGGAGACGTGCTATATGCAATACACTTGGCCCGGGCATTTTTCAATCTTTCTGCTGACAGACGCCCGCAGGAAATATCTTCGAAGAAGACATGGTGATCTTTTAGGATCTGCAGTCTTTGAAAGGGACAACAGACAGCCGCTCATTTGGGCATCTTTCAGAAGTATTTTACAAGGAGATCATGCTGGAGTCGAAATCGCCACTGCTGCACATTCCCAGCTGTTGAAGGACTATGGACTTCTTCATCAAGACTCACAGCTCAAGGCTTCCTCTCCTTGTTTCTCCTGTGGGTTTGCTGAGGGGCTCGTCATTGATGATTATTTCGCTGTCTCCATCGACGACCGAGGTGTAGAGGCTTGTGAATCAGGCGCTTTTCGGGCCTACCAGAAAGCTCAACTAGCCGACGGGAAGAACAAGCTTTTAGGGTCGCCGGAGAAGGACGTCATTGCAGAGAAGGAAGGGAAGGCAATTGGTGCTTATGTGAATGGCAGCGACCGCGCAACTTCCAGAGGAGTGTGTCCTGTTTCTGCACCGCCGGAGAAGAAGCTAGCCTTGTCTTTTCTTACATTGCATCTTTGTTGCCTTCCCTATACAACAGTGTCATTGCATCGTTGCATTGTTGGAGCCTGGGTTTCTATTCTTCTGTTCAGGCGACCAATGATGAGTTTGCTCAATGAAGCCTTCAGGCTGGTTTCTCAGCATGAGAATGAGGAGGACTCAAAACTGATTTCCCTGCCCAGGAAGGTCGCCGAAGAGTTGGTGCTAGTATCTACAGTGGCTCCAATTATTCTGTCGGACATTGCCACTCCTTTTTCACAGACCTTGTATGCCTCCGATGCATCTGAGGAGAGAGGAGCAGTGAGATCAACCACGGTCGGAGAGGATGTTGTTCAGCTTCTTTGCAAATGCTTCAAAACAAAAGGTGCCTATACCAGATTGAGCTCGCCTTGGTCATGTCTTCTACAGAGGATTGGTCTTCAAGAGGAGCTGCCAGAGGAACAACCTGCCGAGTTTACAGTGGACAGGCCTTTGGCTTTTTCTTTTGCGTTCATCGAGGCCTTTGCTGGTTCATCGCGAGTTACAAAAGCATTGTCTGAATTTGGCATTGTTTGCGGACCGCCCATTGACCTTAGCAAGTCAGAGGAGTACAATGTGGCTTTTCTTCATGTGGTTTCCTGGCTCTTTCATTTGATTGAGCAACCATCTCTGCGGGGCTTGATGCTGGAACCACCGTGTACCTCTTTTTCGAATCACGCGTCGCCCTGCTTTGAGAAATGCAGCCCACCCCTTCGGGTTTGACACTACTGACCCACAAACGAAAGACGGGAACATTTTGGCTCATCGCTCTCTTCAATTGATGTGGAAGGCTGCGGTGCATCGTGTCTCAGCAGTCATGGAGCGGCCGTTCTCGGCCAGGACCGAGCACTTGCCTGCGTATCAAATTGTGTTGGCGCTGCCTCAGGCTATCGAGGTGAGAGCTGATGCCTGTCAATTTGGTTCAATACACCAGAAGTCGTTTGCACTCCTTGGGGTCAATGTTGATTTGAAGCTGCTTGCACTACGATGCCAAGGAGCGTGTACACATGTGCCAGTTGCAGGAGTCTACACGAAAGCCTCTGCCATCTACACCCCGCAGCTTGCTTTTGGTTTGGCTTGGGTCTTCAAGCATGCAATCCACACAAACTCAAACTCAGACCCCGTCCTGTCTCTTCAGAAGACTGAGGGCCTTGAGAACCAGCTCGTGAATGAGATCATGATCGGTAGCTATTGGAGCATCGAGAATTCCTGGAGATTTAAGCGAAGCCAACATATCAATTTGCTGGAGCTCAAGTCTATTGAGCGCTTGGTTGAGAAGGCTGCAAAGAAGAGACCTCAGAGGCTGGCCTGTTTGGTTGATTCAAATGTATCGGTCAGCGTCCCGGGAGAGGAGAATTGCAGCTTGCATGGTCTCCTTCGGCATCTACCTCGTCACCCCCTTCTGCCCTACTCGACTGAATGCTGCAGATGATCCCACTAGGCTACGGCCTTTACGGGAGCCTTCGCTGGGCCTATCCTGGAAGTCACTTTCTCTTCGTGATCTTTGGCTAGTTGCAGGCCTTCCTCGCACTCGTAGATGGGCTTCGAATTGGCTTCGTCTCACGCTCCTCGTATTAGGCCCTGGTTTGGGTCGACTTCGTGATCGCTCCAACTTCAGATGCTCCAGGATCCATGAACCCATTCTCTTTGGATCTGAGCTGTGCCCTCACTGTCCTGCCGTGGACTTTTCCCGTATGGATTTTGACTCCACCCTTGGCTTTCCTGGTGAGGGGCCTTTCTTGGGCTTCTCCCAGGTCCTTCCGTCTCTCATTCACCTTCCTCGTTTTGGCGCATCTTTGTCTCTTCGCCTTTCACTTTGCTTGCTGCTTGGCATCTGCTCCTTCGCCTCCTTTTCGTTGCGGCCTTTGCTGAGGGAGCCTCTTCTGCCTTGCTTGCTGGGAGCTTTAGTGTTAGGCCGGCCGTTTCGTTTTGCCGCAGCCATGCCACTGAAAAATACTGCTGAACAGGCCCGCGCGGCCATCAGAGCAACTCGACCTGCGCTCCCCCAAGGGAGGCCTGTTTTACCGTCGACAAGCCGGCTGAGGGAGCGGTACTGGTCGTTTTTCTTGGAATGGTTGCAGCATGAAGGGATTGAGCTGTCGCACCTACTTGATTTCCCCACTATGTATGTTGAGGAGATCAACGCGATCCTGACGAAGTTTGGTAGATACTTGTATTCTTCTGGCAAGCCCTATAATCAGTGTGCTGAAACGATAAACTGCTTGACAACGTATGTCCCTAGCCTACTCAGGCTTATGCAAGGTTCTTGGGACCTTGCTTACTCATGGATGGCAGCCGAACCGACTTGTCATCACATTGCCATGCCTTGGCAGGTTTTATTTGGTTTTGCAAGGAGTTTGCGGATTGCAAACAATGTGTCCACAATACATTTCATTAGCCAAAATGGCCTGCCATTTTGGCTCAAGGATCAGCCCCTGATCCGTCAAAGATCGAACTTTTGCGAACTTTTGCGACTTTCGCTTTTTCGCTCTTTTCTGACTTTCGCCGCCATGGCTGAAGTTTTCGACTTCGAACTTTTGGACTCTGCGGAGGATTTCGTGATCCTGGGATCAAGATGAGATGGCCATCTTGGCCGATTACGTGATCCCTGCGGACAAGACTCCCGCCGACTTGGAGCGGGACTTGGAGGCGATGGTGAGTGGCATCACCTCTCTTTCCTTGCAGGCCCCTGCGGAGGAGCCCTCTGCTGGACTTGCGAGCCCTACATCGGCTTCTCCCCCTACGGCATCTTCTGCGGTGGCTGAGGACCCATCGGCGGTGTCCAACAGTTGGATCAGGGAGACGACGCGGGAGTCCCGGCAGGTGCCTCTGGCCCTGATACTGGGATTCCGTCAGCGAGTCCCTCTGAAACTGGTGCCTTGGATGGGGGACCATTCGAGAGACTCGGCAGGCGCTTCACGCCCTGATACCCTCACCCGGATGTGTCATCCTCCCCTGTGCCGGCCTCAGGGGCTTTGTCGCTGCTGGGCAAGCAGCTGCCGCCGGCGCCTTCCTCGACTTTGCGGACGAGCCTGGACACTGAGGCTCCGATGGAGCAGCGCTTGCAGGATCCTGTGACCTACTCCTTTGCCCAGGACGGGAACATCCTTCTGACCAATGTCATGGCTGGCCTTCCCTGCCTCCTGAAGAAACTGGCGCAGCCGCTGCGGAGCATCCAGGTGGGTGAGATCGTTGAGCTTTGCCTCAAGTTTGACGTGAACAAGCTCACCCCGCCGAACTGATCCTGACCAAGGTCCAAACCTTCACTAAAAACTTTCGTCGTTCCATCAGCCAACACGACAAGCAGCACCCTTTTCCGGAAGCTCTGCTATGTGAAGTACGCCACATCTTGGTGGGCCCGCGCAAGGACACCATCGACCCGGGACAACCATTCTACCTGGAGGCCATCCATGACCTGGCCAAACAGATGCGCGATGCCGACCAGGACTACCCCTCACCCTTAAGGAGGGAGTCCCCACTGGTTGTCTCTGAACCCACTCTGGTTAGCCCGGGGATCTGGCCTACCAAGGCCGAACTCAAGGGTGAAGATCCCACTCAGGACTTTCTTCCGCCCCCTGTGGGCCGGGACAACTATAGCTCGGCAGAGCAGTTCATTGCTGAGATCAAACAAACCTTCCGGGAAGAACGAGACATGGGCATGGTCGAAGGACCCTTCACCATCACTGAAGCGGCAGAGTACTGTGGGTGCACCCCAGAAGAACTCTGCCCGGGCCCTATGGCAGCCATCGATGAGGGAGACAAAGTGAGAACCATCTATGATGGCTCCTGGGGAGGGGCCAATGCACACATCCAAAGACACACGGAGGAATGTACCACAGCGCCCACTGTCATGGACTGCGTCCACTGCCTGCATTGGCTACGCGCCTCCTGTTGGACCTGTCCTTCCAGACGGGCAGGTGCCTCGGGCCCTGATACCCCAAAGGAAGGACAGGGTGAATGGACATGGCCAGAACCGGCCACGGAATGGCACATCCTCAAGGCAGATGTCACCAAGGCACACAGACGTGTCAAGATCCACTCTCGGGACTGGCGATTCCAAGTGGCCCAAATCGGTGATGAATGGTGGGTCAACAAGGTGGGCACCTACGGTATGGCAAGCGCCCAACTCTACTGGGGACGAATGGCAGCCCTCCTCCTTAGGATCATCTATGCAGTGTTTCCTGAAATCGACTGGGGCTTCGTCTTTGTGGACGACTTTGCCTGGCTGCTTCGAGGCCACTTAGCTGACCTACACTCCACCGCTCTACTGGTGGTGCTACTCTCATTGGGCACCCCCTTGAGCTGGAAGAAGGCGGCCCTTGCACACACGAACACGCGGCTTGGATTCGTCATCGATCCATCAGGACCCATTGTCCAGATGGCGAGGGACAAACATGCCCTGGTAATGCAGCTACTGGACCGGCTGGCAGCGGGTGAGGTCTTCACCCTAAAGGACCTTGAGAAGGGCATGGGTCGACTGCAATGGGCAACGAGTGCCTGCCCCCTGACCAAGCCACTGCTCCAACCGCTCTGGCAATGGAAAGGCGCGGTGAAGTCCTCTGGCAAGCCAAACCACCTGATCCGCACCTTTGCCAAGATGCTACGACTTCTCTTCCATGAGCCCTATACTCAATCCACTCCTTTCGCGCCCTGGTCGCCCTGGCACGGGGCGAGTGATGCGAGTGCCTCCACCCAAAAGGAATACTATATCGGAGGTTGGCTCTCCTCTGATCCTACTCCAGCAAAACGATGTGTTTTCTGGTTCCACCTCCGTTTGGACGAGGCTTCCTTCCCATGGCTTTTCAAAACCAAAACTGCCAGTGCCATGATCCCAGCACTTGAGTTACTGGGATCCCTCATCCTCATCGCCTTCATCCTGAAGATGGGGGAACGCAACCAGCTGGCAGTCAAGATTCCAATGATCACGGACAACCAAGGCAACGTCTTCTGCGTGCTGGACAACAAGACGAGGCAGATGCCCACTGCGGCCATTTTGATGCAACTGGTCTTAACACTTCACAAAGGGGGCGCGCAACTTGCCCCACACCACGTGAAGCGGGACCTCAACCAGTGGGCCGATGAACTTACTCATCCAAACCCCACGGGGGTTTCATCCTGAGTTTCACCTTGATGCGAAAAACATTCTCTCAGAGTTCACCCTGATGAACTGGGTCCTCAATCAAGGAGATCTACCATTACTGAGGACCGCCATTTTCCCTTTTAAGCTCCCTTCCAGCTGCTTCACGCGCTGATCAGAAGGGGGCAAACCTTTCTCGGATATGACACCCATGGGTCCTAGACTGGACGCCCGGTGTCAGTCTGCTTTACAGGTTCTCGCCGGCTGATTTTCGAATGCCACCCAGTGCAAACCAGGTGAAGACCTGGCATGGGTGAAAAGGACAGCTCAAACCTGTAAAGGCAGACGCTACCACCTCTCTGAAAAGAGGTGCAAGCTGCTTCCGTGATGCTGCTGTCTGCCTTTTTGGATTGATGTTTGGGGACACCTTGCAATGGTTACAACCAGTCTACTTTGGGGTTGGGTACCCCTTGCAGGTGCTTTGTGTTTGTGTTGGGGTTCCCTGCTCCGAGCGGGGGAGTTTCTGGCTGCACGTCGTGAGACCTGCTCTTACCGAGGGATGTCGATCAAACAATTCATTTCAGTATCCAGTATCCTGGCTATTTTGGAACCTAAAACACGCCATGCAGGTGCGCGTCACCAAGCGGCAAAGTTGGAAGCGCCGGATCTTTTGCAAGTTGTGGACATTGCTTTTGCCCACCTACCTAGCTCTGCAAAACTTTGGAGTATGTCAGGACAAACACTTCGTCAACGTTTTCGTGATGTCCTGACAGCTTTGTTGTTGCCAACGGAACGTGTTGGTGCTTTAAAAGCTCTTGACCTTGGTTCTTTACGAGCAGGAGGTGCTACTTGGCACCTGACTATGACAGAAGACAGTGAATATACCCGGCGGAAAGGAAGATGGCTCAACCACCGTGTCATGGAGATTTACGTTCAGGAGACGACCTCGCTTTTGTTCCTTAAGAAGATCCCTGAGACTGCCAGGGAACGGGTGCTTTTGCTGGCGAGCCTTTTTCCAGAAGTGTTGAAGCTGGCACACCATTGGAACGATTTGAGGTTACCTTTCTCCTTGTGGCGACACCTCTATCTTCAGGAAGCTTGGAAGTAACGGGAGACTTGGGACTTGCTGCTAAAGCTAAATCTGGCTTGCAGCTTGTGACACTTGTTGGATGGAAAACAGTGCGTGGCAACTGAGTTGAGTGGTTGTCCATTAACTACGACATGGTGTTGCCTTCTCAAGCTCACCCACACCGCCCACCCACAACCTGAGATAGAGGCGGGACTTGCTGCTAAAGCTAAATCTGGCTTGCAGCTTGCGACACTTGTTGGATGGAAAACAGAGCGTGGCAACTGAGTTGAGTGGTTATATATATGTGCATACTGCGGCGCATACCTGTGCTATTACAGGTGTGCTTTTCGTTTGTGCGCTCTCATCCGTGCGCGTCCTCACTCGTACCTGTGCTCACATATGTGTGCTCTCATGCGTGTGTTCCAAAACTCTTTCCTGTGCTTTCATATCTGCACTCTCACCGGTATGCTCGCATATGTGTGCTCTGACAGGTGTGCGCTGTTTGTGTGTTCCCATATGTGCTCTCACTCTTGCCCGTGCTCTCATATGTGTGTGCTCATCGGTATGGTCACATATGTATGCTCTCATGTGTATGCCTTCTTATATACGCTCTCACGTGCATGCTCTCATTTGTGTCCTGTCATGAGTACGCGTTCGCTTTCAAAAACGTGCTCTCACGATCTCTCACGTGTGCGCTCTCCTGTTTGTGTTCCCTGATATATTTGTGCTTTGTCCTGTGTTCTCATGTGTGTGCTCTCAGTCATCCTGCGCTTTCACCCAATGTCACTGAACGGCCAATTGCATGGCGCAGCTTGCTGGGCCCCCTGAGGCCATCGGATTGATGACGACGACGGCGTCCAAGTCATGCTTCATTTGTAGCTCGGAACGGGGGATCGACCGATTCGAGTCAATCATGGAGGGATGAACCACTCTGAAGATGTACCAACAGACACTGTAGAAACACGTGTAGTCTTTGATGACCGCGCAGTTTCCAGTATATAGATTGTCATGATTTTTGAGGTTGTTACGCTCTCTGTTTCCTTACCCAATCAGGGGACTTCTGACAGCAGCCAAGGCACTCTGAATGTCGTGTTTGTAGCAATGATTATCGGTGCCTCTTGGCTATTTGGAGAGATATTTCTCCTGTTTCCTCGCTTTCCTGACCTCCCCTCAGCCACTTATGTAACCAAGCTGGACTTTCTTTTTGACACTGACATTGACTCTGAGATCACCAAAAAGAAGTTCGACCCACAGACGCTGATGGCGGCCACGCTGGCAGTGTGTGGAGTCGGCTTTTTGGAGTTGGCTGGCTCGCAGCAATTCGTGATAGGCCGGGCTTGCGCTCTTTGGCTGGGCTTGCAAAGCTTGGCAACTGGCAAGAACCATTTACTCAACATAGTTTCAGGCGAAGAAAGCAAGGCGGTTGGATTGGAACCCAGAATTTTCTTGATCAGCTGGCGCGCGAAGGAGATCTCATTTCCCTTGCTCAGCCCGTTGGCTTTGGCATGGGTGCAGGACCCAGAAGTGGAAAGAGTGCAATCCTGTCAAAAGGGAACTCTTTGCGGTCCAGTTGATGCTTCAGCCAGTCTGTAACTTCTGGTCTCTTTGTGCAAATACTATTTGCAAGCATTTTCTAAAGTTGCTGACCTGTGTTGTTCATGCTATGTTATGGAAATTATCATCAAGTCGAAGCTTGGGATCAGAGTGTGGCTCAGGTTACATCCGCTTAGAAGAGATCATGCAAGATTCCCCTAAAGATGCCCTGCCGGTCACAGCGGCTGGGATTGCACTTTGTTGGGGTAAAGACGGTAAAGCTCTTGCTTGGTACACCGGTACACCATGGTACACCTTTGCCTTCCACACTTAAGCTTTTCATCCACATTTTGCCCATCAATATTCATCAATTTCTCTTCAAAATCTGTTATTCTCCGCGGAGTCAAGAAGAGTGAAGACGACTTGTCTCGAGAATTCTGCCCAGTCGATATATATATATAGTCGAGAAGGGTCGATCGCGCAAAGAAGGCTCACGGTCCTCATGGTATCTCACGGTCGTCTTGGCGTGAAAGGCAAGTGATTTCTCACGTCCTCAAGTCATGTCAAAATCGAATACTTTCATTATATAACTCTTTATCATGCTTTTCTTGAGATAAAATCACGTTGAGTTTCTTCCTTTTCTATCCTTTCATTCTTTCTTATTCCCGAATGCGTAGCGAAGGGTTCTCGTTTAACTGGGGGTCTGGGGCTAGAGCCTTGTTCGCGTGATGTTGCTTGCAGTTCCACAGCCGTTTGCAACCATTTTAAGATCGATAAGGCCCTCTCATTGGTGGAAGCCTTTGGATGGATGGACCAAGTGTCAGATTCGTGTGAAATAGTGCAGAGTGACATAATATTCAAGTGTGAAGGATACTCTGGCTGCGCAGGTCAGTCTTTTGCGCAGGTCAGTCCATTCGGACTGGCGTTCTTGGGTCGGTCCTTTGGAGGTGTTGAACGTCGCTGCGCCTCTGAGATTTGCTGTTGAAGTGCTTGCCTTGAAGCTGTGCTTTCGTGACAAATCTTGGGTCTGGGTGAAGCAGCATTGCGCCGAAATCACTCCAAAGGTGTGGTGTGGTGGAAGTTATGCTACACATGTCAATGTGCTCGATGTGCTCAGCTTAGAGAGTTTCCACTTACAGTTTTAGAGGACGTCTCGTGCGAAATGCTCGTTTGACGTGTCATTTTTGCAGGAAGCCTCCTACAAAATGCTTGCTTTGAAGGCTTGACCTGTCACTGTCACTTTTGGAGGAAGTCATGCGTGACATGCTCGTTTGAAGGCTGGACGTCAGTGGCAGAGGAAGGAACAGTGTCCCACGAGGGTGGCCTACAAAACGTCCGAAAGTGTCCTGCAAGAGTGTCCCACAAGAGTGTCCGACAAGAGTGTCCTACAAAAGTATGCCACAAGAGTGTCTCACAGGAGTGTCTTCCAAAGGTGTCGCGCAAAAGAGTGTCCAGCAAGAGCGAGTTACAAAAGTGCCCTACAAGAGTGTCTTGCAAGAGTGTGCAACAACAATGTGCCATCCCACAAGAGTGTCTTACAAGGGTGTCGCACAAAAACATATTGTTAGAGTCTCCCATGAGTGTTCCACACGTGTGTAGCGCAAGCATGCCCCACAAGAGTGTCATAAAAACCCTCTCACATCAGAAGATCCGTCAAGAGCCAAGAATGTCTTTGAAGAGTTGGAAGAGTGTCAAGCAAGAATGTCAAACAACGTTTGGCTGCTGCGTGCGTGTGCATCTAGTTTCTTTTTCATTTGACATCAACATCACGCACACACATCCTTTCGCATCACACTATCCAATCTGTCTCGCCTCAACTCACCCCTATTATTACTGTAAGTTCTTTTTCCCCACACACACAGAGATCACACACACCGAGACAACACATACCGAGACAACACACACAGAGATCACACACACACACCGAGACCACACCGAGACCACACACACACAGAGACAACACACACCGAGACCACACAGACAGAGATCACACACACAGAGACCACACACACAGAGATCACACACACACAGAGATCACACACACCGAGACAACACACACAGAGACAAACACACCGAGACCACACACACAGAGACCATACACACAGAGGTTAAAGTCTCGCTCCGTTAGAGGGTCTGGTGGTTGCGTGGTCGGCTGTTGTCGGCTGTGGCCGGCTGCGGCGCTGTCCTTTTGTAAATTGCAATAGATCTCGCTCTGTTAGAGGGTCTGGTGGTTGCGTGGTCGGCTGTTGTCGGCTGTGGTCGGCTGCGGCGCTGTCTTATTGTAAATTGCAATAGATCTCGCTCCGTTAGAGGGTCTGGTGGTTGCGTGGTCGGCTGTTGTCGGCTGTGGTCGGCTGCGGCGCTGTCCTTTTGTAAATTGCAATAGATCTCGCTC